TTTTTAAAAAGCTTGGGTAAGGAATAATGACAGATGAAGCTTGAAAGTGGGTAAGGACCAGGTCATCTTTGAGGCAAAGGAGAAACAAGAATAGACTTTAAGTACGAGAGTGTGGTACTCAGATTTGTATTTCAGAAGCCATTATAATGGGTAAAACCACCCGGGAAAACATGTACAGTGAAAAGAACTGTCAGCTGATCACCAAACTCTGAGAGATCCCTTGTGTAAGGGACAAGTGGCAAAGGAAACAGGAAACAAAGGGCCAGAAAGGTAGAAAAGAGAGCTAAGAGAGAATGAAAGTCAAAGAAATAAAGGGTCGCAAAACAAAAGAGAGCACTGGCACAGTATGAGGATGAATCAGAAACATTTCTCTGGTTAATTTGTCCTGTGTCTTCTTAATCATCCTTCCTTTTGTGTTGGTAACTTCAGTTGCCTTCACTATCTTACTCCCTCACTGCAGCCGAGCTGATGCTGACTTACACATGGCCCCACCGGACAGGGTAGCACTGCCCCCTCTGTGTTTTGGAGACTGTATGTCTTTATGGAAGTTTCTAGCCCCATCTTTGTCTCGTGGAGGAGCTGGTGGTTTCGAAGTGCTGACCTTGCAGTTAGCAGCCCAATGCTTAACCACCATGCCACCAGGGCTCTACTTCCTCTAGGCGTTCCCATTTTTGCCTTGTACTACAGTCTACTTTCCCTTCATCTTTTTACTTCCCCAAATTTCAAACTTTCGGAAAGTTTCCAAGCATAGTATAAAGACACTCATACCCCATACCCCATTCACCTCGATATTTACCAATTGCTAATGTGCCATAGTTATGAGATTTGCTGTATGTACAAGGGAGAGAATAAATAAAAATGGTTATTCAATACAGCCACATTCATGGTCCAAAAAAAATTTCAACCTTTATATAATATCGGTTAGTATACTGTGTGTATTCAAATTTCCCCCAACTGTTTCAACAATATCTTTTATACCTACTTTATCCTTGGAGAAAGGTGTCACAGCTCTTTCGTCTCCTTTAATTTAAATCAGTTCTCTAGCCCTTTAGGATACTTAATTGCCTTTCTTGACATTTATATTTTTTAAAAAGTCTAGGCTGCATGTTTTAGAGATAGTTTCTCAGGATGAATTTGGTTTCATGTTCCTTCATCATACCCCTGTCTTAAGTCTTTATAATTTAAAACACAACTATGATCTTGTTACTCTCTTGTTTAAAAGTATTTGAAGATTTCTTATCATCTTCTGGATAAAACTCAGATTGCTTAGTATACCTGTTAAAGATGATCTTAACTTAGTGCTCATGGATTTTTGTAGCCTTATCACTCCTGGTGACTAATAGTTTGTCCTTCAGGTATATAGCACACATCACAAGATGTTTCCCTTGTTTGGGGGTATTTCCTCCCAGCCAACTTATACCTACCCTTCAGGATTCTGTTGCTTTATCTGACAGATATTTGTTGGAAGTTTCTATTTCTCCTAGCGCTGTACTGGACATGTTATTTGGAGAGACCAGTTCTTGGAAAAACACATTGTGTTAGGGTTCTCTAGAGAGATAAAACCAAATTGCTGAAAATTTAATATATTTATTTATAAAGATAATTAGATATATAAAAAGAAATGAACTGTTAAATCATATATAGACAAATATATAATACAAGAAATGAACAGTTAAATTATAAAGCACTACAAATGGCTCAGTGCAACTCACTCCCGTGAGAGAGTTGTGAGAGACTAGCAGTCCTTCAAGTCTAGTCTGCTGCCAGATCTTCCTCTATTTATAGAGAGAGCTAGGCTATGTCAGCACAGCAGCCAATCATAAGGCAGGTCACCAACTGTCAGCCAGGTCATCAACCGCCAGTCCCAGCTCCAGAGATGTCTTAAAGGAACCTCAACTTACAGCAACACAGTCCACAGACTAGGCGTCCCACAGGTAGTGTAGCCTTTAAATTGAGGCACAGGACAAGCAAGGCAGCCGCACACTGGTCCGATGATCAAAGAGCAAGAGACAAGAAAGGCGAGGCTCACCAAGCCATTTAGCTCTCTGCCCTTCAGTTAATCCCACTCGTGTTTATCGGCCAGGCTGGCACAATAAACTATCTCAGACATAATCCTTCATAAAATAGAAGGGCAATGAAACAGTGGACGACCCTCAACAAAATGGATTGATCCAGTGGCTGCATCGATGGGCTCAAATAAAGCAACCATTATGAAGACGGTTCAGGACTGGGGAGTTCTGTTGTACATAGATAGGGTCGCTATGAGTTGGAACTGACAACAACAGCACTGTACTAGGTGCTGGGATATAACTGTGAACAGGACTAACATAATCTGTTTTACAGAATTTATCCTGGCTGAAATATAATATTTCTTGTATTCAATAGCATCTTTGTATACACCTTTAATATTTATCACATCACATTGCAGTTTTTGCCTGTCACTGCTGGATGGAGCTTTCCCAGGGTAGGGTACGTTTTATTCATCTTTGTTCTCTAGCATGTTGTTGGTGCAGTCTCATAGTCAACCTGTAGGTCAAAGTAGAACTGCCCCATAAGGCTTTCTAGGCTACAGGAGCACATCAGCAGGTATTTTCTCCTATGGCTGCTTGGAAGTACTAAAGCATGTTTCATTCAATAAATGAATGAAAGAAATAACTCTTGCTAAATGTTACTTACAAATGTTCTCTCTTTTAATTAAAGAGTATGGGTTAATCCAAGTAAATTTGGGATTATCTTGTTAAGGGAGACTTTTAGTCCTTCAAACAATTCATACCTTTATTCAATCGAAGGGCTATCAAAAATTTCCCAGTACGAAGATGCACTAAGTAACAGAGTAAGAATTCCAAGCATTCAGCAGGGTTGGGAGTGCACTGCTGCTTCTATTGGAATCCTACCTGGTGGTATGAAAGGTGTGTTGGCAAGGAGCACTTTCAAAGCTATGACAACAATGGAAATAACAGTTGCATTTCAATACTATTTCCTAAAACATTTCAATGGCGAGCTCTTACACATTGCCCCCACCAGGACAGACTTCAATCAACCAATTTCCATTGCCAGTTCAATTAATTTCTGCTTGAACATCTCCAGCACCACTTCTAGTTCTTGTTTATATTTAATTTTACACTTTATATGTGCAGAATTGTATTTTCGCGTTTCTGGTTTGTTTCTCTAAGGAAATTACAGCTCCCTAAAGCCTCGCCTAACACATAGCAGCCAGGGCGCACTTTTATAATCAACGCTCTATAATCTTGATAAGATCAAAGAACATGGTAATACTGCCGGTCAATAAATGTACTTTCTCAGGTTTTAAAATCACTGGGGGTAACGTGAGGTCTGTCTATAAAGCATCTTCTGATTCTGTAGGTCTGGGTGGAGCCTAATAAACTGCTTTCTGGGCCCAAGTCATGCCGCTGCTGGTGGTCCGTGGGCCACCCTTTGAGTAGCCATGATGTAAAGAAGTGTGCAAAAGAAAGGCAGCTTCTTGTTCCCAAACATATCTCACAGAGTGCTAATAGCAGAAATATAGTTAGGATGAAGCCAAGCTGAGCATTTCTTTGCCAGCCAGTTATTACCCCTCTTCCCCATTTCGTGCAAGCTCCTCCTCTCCCCACTCAAGAACACAAGCAGAAACTGGCCAGTAAAAACAGTCGCAGCAATTACTCCAAGTACAGAGGACGCGAGCCCGGGTAACAAGGGAAGGATCTCCCTGAACTTACTAGTTTAAGAGCCCGTGGATTAGGTGAGTCTGGGCTGTGGTCTCTCCCACTCCATAGACAGCAATTCAAAATTAAATCCTTGTCTTGGAGGGACCAATCGTAGCCGTAGACTGTTCGCGTTTCGCTCGCGCAGGCGCAGAGCCTGGCTTGTGAGTGGCTCAGAGAGAACAAGCTCTGGCCAATCAGAACGGAGGCGCTCTCGGTATGAATAAAGCCGAGGCGGCAGGAAAGGGGAGGGAAAGTTGGAGAGAGAAAAGGTGTGTTCACGCCATCTAAGCTTTCTGTGGAGGATTTTGTGTAATTGGCTGTCGCTTCTTCTGAGTGAACCAATCGGAAGGTCTTCGCGGCAGAGTCCTAACTATGATATTGAACTAGCGAGGGGAGAACAACCAATGGGAAAAGCGTATCCAACAGCCAATCCTTCTGCAGCGTTTTGTGTCTTTGTCCAACCGGAAAATGTGTTTCATGCGGAGGGGCGTTACCTGGCTACCAGTGGGCGGGCGTCGGTCAACCTGGGGAGCCAATGAATGCGAGACGTTGAGTGACAGCTGTCCAATAGGGACCTTCAGTGCTATTACGGTTTGCGGCTTAAGCGCCGCCGCGGTCTGAGGAATGTCAACTATTCAACATGGAGGCGGAGGTCGACAAACTGGAACTGATGGTGAGTGCAAAGCGCAGGGCTACTGCACAGTGCATTTTCCAGGAAAGGCCTCGAAGGTGGGATAACTTGGAGTCGCCGGAAACTCTGGGCGACGGAGGCCGGACCAGACTCGAGTTCCCTCCTCCTGCGCTAAAGGGAGTCGCCACCGCCCGGTCCCTTTTAACCGCCGCGAGGGAAGGGGTTACATCCGGGAAACTCGTGAGGGAAATGGCGGGAGATGCTGAGGGCACCGGGCCTTTGGAATTCCTTGTTCTCTTCTCTTTACCTTTTCGCCCCTCAAAAAACTGTAGCTGTGACACACAGCATTCTGTTCCCACCAAAAGGTGTGACCCGAATGGTCCCTAAATGCTCCTCGAAGGGGAGAAGTGGTTCACACTCGGGAAAGAGGGCGATGAAGGGTGGGGTGTAATCCAAAGGAGGTATGTCCCTTCAGGACTGAACTGTTGATGCTCTCAAAGGCGGGCTGAGGAAGGATGCTCGGGACTGGTGTTAACAACTTCCCAGCCCTGAGGAAGTCTCTGGATCTGTGCCTGTCCTGGAGGAGGCAGCCTTGGGTGAAGCAGGACGTGGGCCACGGGGATCTGAAGCAGCAGCTTCTTGGCCGGGACGCGGATGGGAGTCGGACGAGGAGGGCACTCCCCTCTCGAGGTGGCCAGTTTAATTCATTCTTGGAAGCAGGCGGCGGGGGCGATTGGACACTGCCATTGTAGCTGGCGAGTGTGGCCTGCTTGAGGGCGCCAAGTGGGGAGAGGGACGACGGGGCTAGGAGCTGGGGAGGAGCGGGACGAACCTTTCAGCTTTCTTCTAGGGCCCTTCCCTCCCTTGTCGTTATCCTCCCCTGTCCATCCCCAGGAGGAACCCTGGTAGCCCTGCCACTTAACAGACTGCTAACCGCGGGTCCAAATTTCAAACCTTCCAGCCTGCTCTTAGCGAGAAAGATAAGGGTGTCAGCTTCGGTAAAGATGCATACGAAATCCTAGGGGGTCACCAGGAGCCCCAACGCTTGATAGCAGTGGGCTTAGGTTCCCATCCCCAGACCACCAGTGTGTTGGCCTGCAGTTTTTCTTTCTTTTAATTCTTTGTTCAGTCTTCAACCCTGCTTTGCCCTGGCATTTCAGTCTTTCAGATCGGGCTGGCCTCCTTAGAAATATTAAAATTGGAAGAAAGCGCTCCTTATTGAGCTCCAGTTGTTTTGTGTTCAAGAAAGTAACGAGATGAAATAAAGGTGCCCCAAACTTCCTTGTCCATCTATAATCTGCCCCAGTTCTTTCCTGCCACGCCCTCCATACCCTGGGAAACGAGAACTCCAAACTGAACGGTCACAGTGGCCCCATAGCTAGAGTAGAACTGCCTCTGTGGATTTCCAGGACTGTAAAGCTTTATGGGACTAGAAAGCCTCATCTTTCCCTTGTGGAGCGCTGGTGGTTGTCGAAGTGCTGACCTGTGATTAGCAGCCCAACGCCCAGCGTAACCTATCGAGCCACCAGGGCTCTTTCCATACCCTGGTGGTTGCATGGAATTATTTTTTAGATATCCTTCGTGCTCCTGTTCCATGTTTCAAGCTGTGCCATGGGTCTCAGACCCCTGACTTGGAAAGGGCGCGTGATACTCATGGAAGAAACCGAGTATCATTCTTAGTCATCCCATTCCCCCCTCAGAGAATGTGAGGCCTTGAAATTATGCTGATGGTGGCGGAATAGTTACGCATGGAGCTACGATCTGCAAGGCCCGCAATTTGAAACCACCAGCAGCTTCGCTGGAGAAAGGCAGGACTTTTACCCTTGTAACAGTTACAGTCGTGGAAATCAGAGGGGCAGTTCCACGTTGTCCTGTGGGGTTGCTGTGAGTCCGCATCAACTCAATGGCAGTGAGTTTTTGGCTTATTGGTGACTTGGGGTACCTTAACAGATACGATTTTGGCTTCTAAAGTCTGTTGTATTTGAACTTTATTTGTGATGGGTGGAGTCCTAGTAGTGCAGTGGGTTAGCGTTGGCTATTACCACAGGGTGAGCATTCGGAACCACTAGCCCCTCCGTGGAAGAAAGATGACGAGGAAGCTTCCTTCTCCCATAAGAGTTACTGTCTTGAACAAACACAGGACGGTTCTCCTGTCATACAAGGTCTCTACAAGTGAGTTTGGTTTTTGAGGGGATGTGGGGATAGGAGGAGGGAGACAAATTACAGAGAAGGCTGAATTTCCAGCATTCCTAACTTGTAAGACTGAACTTTAATTCCCAAGTTTTATTTTTAACATTGTCTTTTTAAATAACAAATAAACTGAAAATATTACATATTGTGGCTTTATTCTATCAATCAATGTACCGTTTCCCCCAAAATAAGACAGTGTC